TTTTTCTGGAAAAGGGACAGTCTGTATATGTGTGCTGGCCAAAGCCACCTCATTTCTGGCTCAAGAGGCCAGCTAGAGCCTGTTGTGGTCTGCTGGGTTTCCTGATGGATGAGCTGCCCCAGCTGCCCCAGCACAGGGAGCACCCAGGGCTCCCAGGACAGTGACCTGAGTAGCGCCAGCCCTGTCCCAGACCACGGGGATCACAGCATGGGTGGCCAGCAGGGCTGGGAAGGGACACTCAAGAGTCACCACATACCAAAAGCCACAAATGGCCCTGAGGTCAGGTTAGTGACCCACAGCACAGTCCTGGAGCTTTAAACATTGGAGATTACTTGCTCCCACTGTCATCTGTCTGGCAGGACACATGCAGGGAACAGGAGGGGACAGACAGGATGCAGCACCTGGCTTCAACCACTGCTGCTGCAGAAGTCTTTGTGGGGATGTCAGTGCCAGGGAGAGACCCAACCCAGGCACTTTTAGACTCCTCAAACGTGCTGAGCTGGGTTTGCTCTGCCCCTGCTTCATGTCCTCACTCCCTGTGCTGTGAACAGGACCATGATCTCCACTGTGGCCAGCCCGGGGGTCAGCTGGTGACTGTGTGTGTCTGAGCTGCTGTCTGCTCTCGGACAGGGAATCCTCCAGGATCAGCCATCTTCACCTCTCTCTGCTCCTGCACAGCTGATGGTTTCCCATTGTATGGGTGTGCGGGAGGGAAGCAGTGTGTGGTGTTTATTTTGACAGTGGAGAGGCTGATTCTCCAAGATTTTGGGGTAGAGCTTCTTGTCCAAGACGAAAACATTGTTTGTTTATGGAGTCTCACAGTGGCGGCGTAAATAGAGGATCAGCTTTGATGGATGCTGAGTGTCTGATCCTGTCCCATGCACAGAAATCATTGATTTCTGCACAAGGGTGCCGAGCCCAAGGAACGGGGGTACCAGCATGGCTCAGATGGCAGCTGCATTCCTGGGTGGATGCTCCCTTTGTGCCATGACTCCTGGGCTACTGGCAACAACCACAGTGATGCCTCCGGGCCAGCTGGGGCACGTGCAGGGCCGGGGCTGCGGCAGGGTGCTGCTGGGGACCCCTCTTCTCTCCTGCCTCATCCTCTCCGTTGCCACTGAGGTGGGAAAAGCCCAGCAGGAGGGAGCTGACGGGTTTCTCCAGATGGTGCCCTGCTGACCCCAGCTGTTCCCTGTCTTCAGCTCTTCCTTAGGAAAACACGGCTCGGGCCAGCCCATCGATTAATGGTTTCCTCATGTTCCCCCCCACAGCCGAGGGGGGAAGATGTCTCCCTGCTCCTCAGGCCCTGCTGAACTGAGCCCCTGCCTCCCTATGCCCCCAGACCCCACACAGGTGCTGCATATCCTGTGCACATGGGGAGCATGTGTTCAACCAGTGAATTGTGCCCTTGTAAAGATGAACAAGGAGACAGGTTGGATGAAGGACTACATGAACAAATGAATGAATGACAGGTAATTAATGCTGATGTAATAAGTGCCCCTAAGGCTGGTAGAAATACACTAGGCTTATTGAAGAACAGCACATTTCTCACAGCTTTGCAAGGACAAGAGGAGCTTGGAGCAGCTAAATTCCTCAAACACTTGTTCGACATGGTCATGAGTGGGAAAAGCGTGCCTGCTCTGGTCCTACAGCCCCTCTGGAAGGAGCCTGAGTGAGTGAAAGAGCCCTGGTTGAGACTGGAAGGACAGGAGGAGGGCCAGGAATTGCAGAGGCTGTGCTTTGCTTAGGAAGCAAAATTTAGGATGTTAACGAGTCTTGTGAGGGTTGTAAAGTGCCAAGTAAAATACCATGCTTGGGTAAGGGGTGATGGACAGAGTGCTGCAGTACCAAGGGCATGGGACAGAGGATGTGGCACTGGTTGGATGGACAAGATGTGGTTGGTTGGACACGTTACCACACCTGAGGAGTGGCAGCAGGCTATAGTTGCTTCCTACCATGTCCACAGGTGGCAAAGTACAACTTGTTCATATTATTAACCATAGAAGCCTGAAGAGCACAGGCTGGCAGAGGCACCATCACTGCTCTCTGACAGCTGAAGCCACTACTAAGATCCACTGGGATCTGCATGGTAGCATGGACAGAAGTTGTACTGTGTACCAGAGAGCATCAGGAGAACAAGGAGAGCAAGACCAGGTCACACTATGACAGGGATCACTCTAAGTAGGTCTTGCCCCTTCTTAGAGGCTCAGCTCCTCACCAGGAAGAATATTCCCACATCCCAGCACTGAGCTGTGCCCTGTTGGCCAGGCAAAATGCTCTTTGCTTGATCCTATTTCACCTAAGGAACGTGTTTTCCTGTCTGATGCAGTCAATTTTATTTATGTGGATTTTGGTTACCAAGAGCAAAATGATGGAAAATACACATGCATCCATTTGTCTGTCCACTCAGGCTGGGGTTCAGCTGTTCAAACTCTTATGATGTCTCATGAGTGGAGCTGGCTGGACAACACAGAAAAAAAGCATTGAGTTTTCTGTAGTTTTCTCACATTTTGTGTCTTTCCTTGGCCAAATTCTGGGTTTTCATGAAAGATGTCCACTAGTGTTTTGAAATGAGAAAAATTTCAACCAGCTGCAAAATTCAGTCCCAAAGCAGGGGGGAATTGCAAACTCGCCTCTCTTTCCGCTGCCTTTGTGTCCCAAATGCTTTGCCCCAGCTGAATACTGGAAAAAGACCTGTTAAATTAAAAAAAACAACAAAACAACCAGATGGAAATGTGCATTTTGGCCCTTCCCACATGGGCCGGCCTCCACCGCCTGCAGCAGCCGGTCCCAGCACGGGGCTCCTCGGCACAGTGAGCTCAGCCAGCTGCTGCATGGGGCTGGGGATCCGTGCTCGAGGAATTGGGAGCGCACCAGAGTGCACCAAAGGCTTTTCAGATGCTTTGCTGAATTAATACTTTTTCTCTTGAAGAGCTATTTTGGAAAACATACGGCTTTATAGTGCCAAGCAGAGCTGGCACTCAGTCCCTCTCTCTTGCCCTTGCAAAGCCCATAGCTGTTGGCTGCTGCCACCAGGACTGTGTGACATATCCTGCTGCCACCTGAGCCCCCTGCCCTGTGTCACCCACAGCCTCTGGCCGCTCCCAGTGGTGTCAAGCACTCCCCTCCACCAAAGAGGTGGACGGGGCTGGGGGGGTGCTGGTGGATGTGGAGCTGCCCCTGGATTTGCAGCCCTCTGCCAAATGATGCCAGTGCTGGTGTGTGCTCCAAGCCCTGCCCGATCTGTAGGGCAGGATGAACAGCACCTCTGAGCAAACCCATGGTGCCTCCTCCACTGCCCTTGGTGTCCTGGCACCAGCTCAGGGTAACTCAGCTACAGTGTCCCAGGTGCAGCCAAATCCATGTGCAGCCCCCAGTTCCCAGCTGATCGTGCCAGGCAGAGGGAGAGGAATAAGAAAGGTGAATTCTTGCTCTGGACATGGAGGTGACATAAGCAAGAGAAGTCAGGAAAAGTCCTTCAGGGATCAGATTCGGTGAAGATTGTCTTCCTCAGTCTAGACTCAGTGCAGAGTGGCTTCCTCCAGTCCTTCAACCAGGATTTTAGGACATTCTCCAGCCAAAGGGAGAGAGGGAGAGAGGAGAGCTCCTCTCCTCAGCACAGACCATGGGGTGGCAGTTCTGCTCTGGCATCCCTGATCTGCCCCAGCAGGACACTGAGATGCCATCTGGGAGCCATTCCTCCTCAACAGTCCCAGATGGCAGAGGTGAAAGAAGAGGGAAGAGCTGCTGAGAAGACAAATGAAAAACTCCAATCACCAAACTCCTCAAAGAGTTTTAGGTGCCCCACTTCAGTGGAGGAGAAATCAGGTCCCAAAGGAAACCCTGGAGTTCCCTGCCTGAGAAGGGAACACAAACACATTGTGCCTCTCCTTGCTTGGAGAAACCGTGTGTTGCTGAAGCCCTGTCCTGAGAAGTATCCATGCCCATGGAACGGTGGTGCTGCCCTGCTCTTTCTGGGCTGTGGCTGCTGAGAAGAGGGGTCAGAGAAACCCCACACACCAAGGGGTGATGTTGAGGGATGATCCTGATGAAAGTCCTGTCCTTGCACACCCAAAGGGTGTTCCACCACTGACCTCTGTGTGAGGACTCCTGCATTTGTCCAGAGAATCTGTGGCTGTCCCATCCCTGGCAGTGTCCAAGACCAGGTTGGATGGGGCTTGGACCTGCTCTAGTGGAAGGGCTCCCTGCCCGTGGCAGGGCTTGAAAGAAGGTGACCTTTCAGGTCCTTTCCAACCCAAACCATTCTGTGACTGTTGGGTGCATGGGGTTGGAGTGAGCCTGAGCCAAGGGCAAGTCTGGTGAAAGCAGACATGGGAGGAAGAGGAGAACTGGGTGGCCCAACTACATCAAGAGCCATCTCATGGCAGAGGCCAATAGTCTGTGACAATCCAACAGGAGGAGCCAGAGATGGGAGGGTGCCCTCAGCTCAGACAGAAGAGGAAACAGGGTCTGTGTTGGGAGGGGGATAATATCAGCTCATCCAAGCCCAAGTGGTCCCACCTACCCATTACACCTCAGCTTCTGGCCTCCCCACACCTCTGCCCATGCCATTCGTAGGCACCCACAGGACCTGAACAATGGCACTGCAGGCCCTCCACAGCTCTGAAATGTCTCTTCCAGCATCTCCAGCAGCTTCACCAATGTACCTGCATGACATCCCCAGGGCCTAGATCCTCATTCCCTAAATTCCCTTGTCCTGAAACCCAACAGTGCTCCACTAGTCACTTCAGCTGGAAGCTCCAGCACCACCCTGGGTTGCTGAAGCCCAGAAGCACCACCCTGGAATGGGGAGTCCACACAAGCTGCCGTGGGCTGGAAAGGGTAAAGTTTCATGGGAGACCATTAGGCTACAACCCCTCACTGAGCCATTCAATAAGCAAGGCAAGGTTGGTGTGGAAAGGAATATCTATTGTCAGAGCACCTATTATTTCTATTTGTATTTATTAAGCCAAGACCGCTACAATCTCAACATGGGAAGATACTGGTGTCTGTTTAACCAGAGACTAATACATAGTGAAGAAGATATAAAAGCCTAGAGGTGGATCAATGAAAACTCTTGTTTCTTCCTGTCACCTCTACCTTGTGCATCTCCTTGGACAGCCCTGGCCACAGCAATTCTTCCCAGGAGAGCACATAGTTTGGCCAGTTCTGAAGATGCACACCAAGGCAGATGGTCACTTGGTGTCATCTCAACAGAAACAGGTGGAATTATGTCAGTTGGTACCAGAGAACACAGGCACATAGACCTGGCTGGATGGATGATTATACACACGATGGCTCTGGTCAGCCTGGCCAGTCCAGCTCAGGTTCAGATGGAGCAGGTGGACATGGGAGGGGAAAATGGTGTGTCCAGGTCCTTCTCACTGAGCTGTCTGGACTAGGCACCAGGACAGTGGCGACCAGGGGTTGCCAGGTCTGTCCCTTTCTCCCTGGTGGACACAGTCCTGCCTGGTAGTGGCCACCAGCACACTGCCAGGGTCTGGCTTCTCCCTATGGCACTGCAGCACCTCACAGGTCCTGCCCCAGCCAGCAGCACTGGTCCATGTGAGCCCAAGGTCACTGGGGAATCAGGCCTTGTAAAAGTTCATTTGTCCTTCCTGGTGGAGGTCCTGGGGCTGGGCACTCTGCAGCACTGGACAGTTTCCACTCAGCCTGCCCACACATCGGAATGAGGACAGAAAACTCTGACCTCCTGTTCCTCCTGGTCAAGGAGAAAGGCAGAGAGAGGTCTGGCAGCAGCACATTTTCAGAGTGAGGAAGAATCATACCCTGGGTGCTGGAGAAGGGAGAGCTGTCAGCTGAGATGTCAGCAGTGGGCAGAAGACAACTGTGTTAAAGGGAATATAAAAGCCTTGAAAATGAGCTCCAGAATGACCGGAGCAAGACACCAATCCCCTTCAAGCTCCTTCAGGTGACAGGCACCCACAGGGCCTCGCTCCACTTTGCTCCTCATTAAAGGTTTGTCATTACTGCATTATTTTTAATACACACTTAGAGAAAAGGACTGACACGCACACCCACCCGTGCACACGCACACAACAGGAAACCATTGCCAAAATATACACTATAGACAAAGAGTCCATTCACACTGTGTATATGTACAGAGTCTGTGGGCGCAGTCTGGCAGCACCCAGCTGGGCTGGGGCTGGGCATGGGGGACAGCGTGGCTGCAAACCCCTCAGGGCTTCACACACTTGCCCTTCTTCTCCCTCCGCTGCAGTTTCCGAAGGCGGCGCGTCCAGGCGTCCCGCCACTGGATGACCAGGCTGTTCTTGTCGGCCATCAGTCCGGGCCGGTCGGTGGAGTTTTCGCTGATCCCCATGACCAAGTACTTCTTGCTGATCTGGATCTTGGGGCACTTGCAGGACAGGTCTTTCAGGTGGATCCACAAAAAGTTGTCACCGCGCTTGACCCGCTCGTCACGGCACTTGTAGACAGAGAGGATGTTGATGGTGAACTTGGCCCAGTTGGCCACTGTCTCCATATCAAGGATGTTCACCTGGACCACTGAGGGTAAAAAGGGAGAGGCACAGTGATGGGGGATGCTTTGCTTTGCTCCCCAAAGGGGCCCTTTCCAGCAGCCCCACCTGCCTCATCCATTGCAACTTTGGGAAGGCTGATATGGGGACCTCTCTCTATATGGAGTGTCCCCCGACCCCTGGATGCTTTCATCCGCCCCACCCACAGCCAGCCCTCATCTGCCTCTGGGCCAAAGCCCAGGGTAGCTCAGGGAGGTTGGAAGTCCTTACCATAGTCCTTCTTGCAGTACTTCTTCATGTTAATCTTGTAGTTGCCCTTGGCTGGTTTGCAGTAGGAGTCACAGTCTGAAGCAGAAGAACAGTGGGTTGAGCACTGAGGGAATTGAGGCACGTGGGGACTCATCCCACCACAGGGGAAGAGGGAGTGGGGTGGAGGGGACAGCAGCAAGACCCAGCCTGGCAGACGGTGGTGGGTACTTGACTCCTCCTGAGCCAGGGCCTCAGCACTGCTGGGGACAGGGTTCTGTTGAGTCCAGCTGCTCCCCTGGCACTTCACAGGGACTGGGGGCTCAAAGACCAGCACAAATGGCTGATACCACATCAGCTGGGAAAAGGAACCAAGTGGCCTTGGGTGCATTGAGCAGACTCTGTCACTTGTGGTGATGGTGTCCTGCAGGGTAAGTCAGCACAGGGATATTGGAGGAAGCCTGGGGACTTCTTCTAGACACAGAAAGGGATGGATGGGAGGAATGCAGGTGAGGTGATAGTGGCCTCCATGGAGGGCTGGTAGGGGCTATGGCCAAGGTGAGTCAACAGAACAGCTGTGACCCTGCAGTCCTGGGGGATGTGGGAAAAGAGGATTTGGCACCAGTCCTAAAATCAGCCGCACAGGGGGCACAGCCAAAGGCAGGTGTGACACCAGACCAAGGGTCTCATGATCCTCAGAGTGATTCAGCTCTCAGGGACCAGAGTGGTAGGAAGCACCCTCGGGGGCAGCCCCTCCAGGGACCTGTGCCTCGTAAGTTCCCACAAGTAAGGAAGGGGACTCAGGTTGTGGGAAGGAGACAGGTGAGGGAAGTAGCTCTGCTCTACCACATCACTCCGGTTGCCCAGGCACCCCCTGCTCAGGCTGCTCCAGAGGGGCTGGGGAGGCCACCAGGCTGTCCTCCACCACCCTGCTCTCCCCCAAGGCTCCTGTCCTCCAGGCAGCTTTTTTCTGTGCATTTCTAAAGCCCCCAGATTTGCATCTCAAGCAGAGGGAGGGCAGGGAATGCCTCTTTCCTTCTCCCCAAAGCCTTTGATCCCAACAATTGCCCGAAGCAGCCCTGCTCTCCTTCTTTCTTTACCCTGCCATCTTCCTTTGAACATCTCAATTTGTCTCTTTCCAAATGGCATGTTTTTTTTCTGAGCCCATCTTTCTTCTTTTCTCTGCCTTTTGCAGGTTCTCCCTCTGGTTTGGCCCCACATCCCAGGACAGAGCCAGCAGCCTCTAAAGTTGTCTTTGTTTGCGGGTTGCCACAGTGATCACTGGGGATGGAGGCAAAGCTCTGGGGGAAGATGGGGAATAACAGAACCCTGTGCCAAGGGGAGGAGGAGAAACGAGGAAAGAAAGAAGCCCAAGAGCACAAACTCACCCTGGGCTCCTCTCTGCCCAGCTCCTTTTTATCTGGGACTTCATGCCACCTGTTCCAAATTTGTCAGTGATAGAGGCTGTGCAGCGTGAAGCTAATTCTTGGCAGAGGGGGATGAGCTCTGATTCACAGTTCAGCCCTCCCATGCTGCCACACTGCCCCTCCACCTGGGCTGGCAGAGCTGCCTTGGTCCCACTGCCTCCCCTGAAACAGCCCAGGTGACTACAGAGGGGGCTCAGGGCCTCTCCATATGGGGGGTGACTGCTGAGTGTGCTGGAGTGCTTGGCCCTGGCACTGAAGTGCCCTCACCTACTGCACCTCTGGGATGTGCTACAGCCTCGGCCTGCTGTGCTCCCTGGGGTACACCACAGCTGTGCTCCATGGGGTACACCACTGCTGTGCTCTCTGGGTACACCACTGCTGTGCTCCCTGGGTACACCACTGATGTGCTCTCTGGGTACACCACTGCTGTGCTCTCTGGGTACACCACTGCTGTGCTCCCTGGGTACACCACTGCTGTGCTCCCTGGGTACACCACTGCTGTGCTCTCTGGGGTACACCACAGCTGTGCTCTCTGGGTACACCACAGCTGTGCTCTCTGGGTACACCACAGCCCCATGCCAGAGCCCATGGCATCCCGCAGACGGCCACAGGCCCAGCCCCACACACTGCTCCGCTCTCTCCCACTCAGGCCCAGCCCCACACACCACTCCACCCTCTCCATGCAAGGGACTCCAGGAGAGCCTCCCACCTTATTTTGGGGAGTGCCTGTCAGGACAGGAGCCCCTTTCCTCCCCAGGCAAAGAGGCACAGAAGCCATCCTGCCCCTGGCAGTGGCGAGGGGGGTGGCACGGCTTGGGGGCTCGCTGGGGTGATGGGTGCTGGCCTGGTGGAGTGTGGGGTGATGTGTGGTGGGAGGAGGCTGTGGGGAGCCTCAGCCAGCCTGCCACCCCTTCCCTTGGCAATGGGAATGAAAGAAAAGCAGAAAGAAATCCTGTAACTGCCCTGGGCTCCTGCTCATGATTAACAACATAACACTGTGATTCAAAGGAGCCAGAAAATGGTGTTGGGAATTAACAATTTAGGATTAGTTTAGGGATTTTTTTAAACCAGCTTTGTGCTGTGGAGGAACATTCTTCAAACGTAAAATCAATTCCTGCTCCACATATCTAATAAATTTGGGAAGAAAAAAAAAGGTCAAAATAACTGGAAACATTTCCCTTCCTTGGCCCTGAGCACGTGGCCTCCTCCATCAGTGGGTGTGGGGCAGACACGGGTGCTGCGCCTGGAAAGTGGCAAGGGATGTCAGGGCAGAAGGATTCTGCCTGCACCTCCCCAGACTGCCTCTCCCTGAGCATCCTGTCCTGCTCCTGCAGGGTTTTGCCATGGGAGGGCCCTAACACTGCTGCATCCCTGGAGATGCTACAGGTGCAGAGTGGGAGGAGGCAGCTGAGGACCAGAGCCACTGGCCTGGTGTGGGCATTCCCCATCCCTGTGGGGGAGTGCATGTGAGAGAGGTGGCAGGTTTGCACATCTGGTTTACTTCTCCTCTCCTTGAAAAAAAGGAATATTTTGTGTTAAGGGAGATGTAACTTAATCAGGTGCTATGGCTGCAAATCTTTTACTGCTTACTTTGAATTCCCTTAAATCCCTGTTTTGCGCTCCACGAGTTTTGTTAATTCTGCTAATGGGGAACGTGGATTTTATTTTTTTTCCACTAAATGGAAAATATTTTAAGATAACAATAATAAAAATTATGAGAAGTGGACCCAGGACGTTTCATCACCAAGCCAGTCAGTTCTCAGGCACAGACATCAAAGCTGGACCTCAAAGGCTTTGGAAGATTGGAAAGGCAGGAAAAAGCTGGGAAAAGTGATGCAGAAGATGGCAATGTCAGTGAAAAGCCTGGACACACCCTGGACTGAACCCCAGCATGGAGGAGGATGGGGAGAGGGGAAAAGCCCAGCACCTGAGCATGGCAGCCCTGAACAATGTCCCCCTGTTCCTGCAGCCAGCACCTGCTGCCAGAGGCAGGGTGGGAGGTAGGGAAATGGGGGGAGAAAGAGCTTGGAGGCTGCCTGAGGTGCTGAGGGCCCTCTGGGGAGTGCCCTGCTCAGGGACAGCTGGGGGCTCCTGGGGGCAGAGGGGCAGCAGGGAGCAGGCAGGGTGTGGGTAGAACTGGCAGCCCTGCTTGCAGGACAAGCACAGCAGGTGCAGGTAACCCTGGCAGTGCAGCCAGGGCAGCACCTCTGATCCCCCCAGCGAAGGGAGCAGCAGGACCCCCACTGGGTCCCCTGATCCTCCAGTGGCACTGGCTCTGGGCAGAGGCAGCTACATTGCATTAAGGATTTTTGAGCTAGAAGCCAGAAATCTTAAACCAACAAACCCACAGATAAACTGGAGGCAGTTTGAGGCAGACCCACTCTGCTAAAACAGAGCAAACAACCCAGCTCTCTGCCAGTGCTGTTTATTTTTGTGCAGCTGAACAGCTCAGACATCATTGTGAGACTGTTCCTATTTATAAAGCACTGGAGGGGAGTCACCTTGATTAACTGCTCCACGCTGTACCCTCTGTTGGCAATAAAACCAGCCAAATCTCTCATTCCATCCCCCCACTTTTTTTCTTTTTCCCAAAGCCTGATGTCCTCAGCTCTCTCCTTACAGCCGGCAGGGTGGGCAGGGCAGGCAGGAGCAGAGGTGGTGGTGGTTTGCCCTGTCCCATGCAGCTCCCCCCAGCAGTGGTACCATCATTTCAGCTCAGCATCTTCCCATCGGGCAGGATGTGGACTCCAGGTCTCATCGCTCCCCCTCTGCCACAGTGAGGAGTGAAACCTCTGCCAGATCCAGGCAGGGCTGCTCCTCACTGTCCTGAAAACATCCTCTCTTTTCCAGAGCCTCCAGGGGCAGAGCTGTGAGGGCTCAGCAGTGCCCATAGGTGCTGGGTGGGGTGCCAGACTGTGCAGAGCTCCCCGGCTCTGCACCACTCCCTGGGGTCCACGTGTGCTAAGCCAGCACTGCCCTGTAGGGAGCTACAGGTTCCTCCTTGTGCATCTCCCCCCTCCATCCCCATCCACACACTTTACTCCTGCCAGAGGAACACAGAATCATTAAGGCTGGAAAAGGCCTCCAAGACCTTCGAGTCCAACCTTGAACCAAATGCCACCAAGCCCACTAAACCACATTGCAAAGGGACACATCTACTTGCTTTTTGAACACTTTCAGGGATGGTGACTCCACCACTGCCCTGGGCAGCCTGGTTCATTGCCTGACAACCTTTGCTGGAAAGAAATTTTCCCTGATGTCCAACCTGAATCCCCCCTGGCACAACTTGAGGCTGTTACCTCTTGTTCTATGACTTGTTCCCTGGGAGCAGAGCCTGACCTCCCCCTGGCTGCCCCCTCCTGTCAGAGAGTTGTAGAGACAGAAGAGGTCCCCCTGTGCCTCCTTTCTCCAACCTGTGCCTCTCCATCTCCTTCAGCTATTCCTCATCTGACTCATGCTCCAGACTCTTCCCAAGCTCCTTTCCCTTCTCTAGACATGCTCTAGCCCCTCAGTGTCTGCCTTGTTGTGAGGGGCCAAAAATTCCATCTCTTCAACACAGCTCATTTCTGGCTCTGCTGCAGCCGGCAAGATCATGCAATGGGCTGCAGCAGCCATCCTAGAAAATGTTCCCACAGGGCTGGAGAGCACATCCCAGGCACACACCAGCCTGGGAAGAGGCTGCTGGCATTTTCCACTGCCAAGGCAAGGTGGTCACGGCAAGGAGACCCAGGGAGATGGATACAAACAGAGCACTGGCTCTCCAAGAAAGGAGAAGGCTTTCTTGAGATAGATGTAACCCAAACAGGGCATAGGGAAGTTGCTCATTAAATATGGGTGTGGGGAGCTGGAGGGGCCCCTGCTATCTTCACAGGAGCATGTGCCATGGGATGAAGAGGAGGATTGTTTGGGATGTCTATTTCAACACAGTGGAATGCAGGGGAAGACCAGGCTCTTGGGGACAGCAGGAAGAGGGGTGGCCCAAGGAGGGAAGGGGTTGCTTCTTTCCCAGCTTTTCCCCCTCCACCTGGCTTGAAATCCCTACAGGTGATAGACCTGGTATGGCTGGGAACAGCCACACTGCAGTGCTGAGGGGACTGCACAAGGAAGAGGAGGGGAGGGAGGAAAGCCTTGCTACAGCCCTCTCTGGAGGGCTCAGCATGGATCCAGGGGCTGGCACAGCACTGCCTGGTGCCACTGGGATCTGCCATGACACAGTGGGAGCTCAGGGCACTTGGGTGGGACCTTGGTCCCTGGCCAGGCTGGAAGAAGGACCCTAATCCATCAGCACAGGGAGCACCCATATACCCAGCAGTGCCTGGCCCCAGCCAAGCCTGTGCAGGAGAAGTGAACCTGCAGCTTGGTCTGAGATGCCAACCTTCCTACTCCAGACTGGGGAACCAGGGCAGCTCTTGAGGAGCTCTGAGGACCATGGCAGCAACGCCTCCCTAGCCTGTGCTAGGCCTGCACTCTGTCACCTCCCTCTGGGTGACCACAGCAGTGACACTGGTCCCTCCATGGTCCAATTAACCATGATCCCATCACCCTGTGCAGCCAGGACAAGCAGCTCACACCCAGACCCTTCTCTACTCCAGACCTGGATGACGTGAGCACCGTGTCACTCACGTCCCAGGGGAGACCTGGCAGCCTGTGCCCAGCACAGGGGCCCCAGAGCCGGCCTGAGACCAACCAGAACCCCCACGCCCCAGCACCTCCCAGAGAGCTGGGGTCTTGCAGAGGCCAAGGACACTCAGGAGAAACCTCTTGCACTGGCCCTGATAAAAGGAGGTTAAGCAAAGCCAGCCCCAAGCACCCACTGGTGCCATATGCCACAATCCCTGCCTTAACCTGCCAAGGGATGGCAAGGCCCCAGTGGACTGCATGCCTGCTCTTCTCCTTGGAGGTGATGGAGGAAGCTTTTCCTGAAAAAGTCCATCAATCTTAGTCAGTTCCTCTCCAGAAATACACAAGATTTTAAATCTCGGTCACGTCTTTCACCAAAAATTTTTACCATTAATTTTTTGCCAAATGGTTTGGTAGAGCTCAGCCCTCCCCTGTGCTGTGCCAGGCAGAGGGAAGGTGGGATCTGCCCCCAGGTCTCTGGGTAGGGCTGAGGCCATGGACTTGGCCAGGGACATGCAGCACTTACCTGCAGGTGCCTCTGTGCTGGTGACCAGGGAGGTGGGGTTGATGGCAGGAATCTCTGGAAAAGAAAGGGAGAGGTATCTTAAGGTTGAGACCCCCAGCCCTGGGGGTGACAACTGGGCAAAAGCCCTCTGAAAATGGGCCACAAGGAGATTTTGCTGGTCACAAATGAGAGATGATGGGAGAAATTTAACCTGACCATTGCAGACCATTGAATAGACCTGGAAATGCACAAACTGAGCTCAGTAAATTGGGCCAGGCTGCAATTCTGCAATCCCCAAGGGCCCGAAGCAGCTGTGTGGGGATGTGTGCTCCAGGGATGGATGCTTCCCGGGTGCTCAGCTCATCTGAACTGAGTCTGGACATGAGATGGGTGTTTGGCTGATCTCAGCACGCCTCAGGCTGCCCAGCACAGAGATAAATGTTGGAAAAGATAACACTTGCTCAGGACTCTTGGCAGAAAAACCTGGGCGAATTTCTTTCCTAAACTCAAATTTGGGGAGGAACAGAGAGAGGAGCCAAGGAGCCAGCTCCACCAGTCACCTGCACTGCCGCTGCTCCAGCAGCCCAGCAAAAGCTGCAGGGTGGGAGGTTGTTCCTCTGCCACTTGGGTCAAATTCAAAAACCCACTGTGACAATAAACACAGTTTTATGCTGACCACAGGCTCTGGCCTTGCCCCAGAAGAGACCGTACTCAGGGCTCAGCTGGGTGAGGAGGGCACGTGCTGTACCAAGGATGGGACCCAGCAGAGCTGTTTCAGCCACCTGGAAGCACTGACCCAAGGGGTCATCCAGAGCCTCCTGTGCTGGGGCAGGTGAAGCCCAGGTCACCCCAAAAAGTGATCAGAGCGCCCTACTTGAGCACTTTCTGGAGAGCATCCAAAAGGACAGACAGCCTCTTGTCTGAGCCTCCCACCCATCACAAACCATCCAAGGTGAGTGGGGGACCAAGAGGCATCCGCTAGTGCCTGTGGGGATCCCTGAGTGCAGAGCAAGGCGTGGGGCACTCACTGATGCAGGGGGCCACTGGCGAGCGGCTCTGCTGGTAGCCCTTGGCGCAGCGGTTGCAGGTGAGGCCGGTGACGCCGTCCTTGCACGGGCACTGCCCCGTGGTCTGGTTGCAGGTCTTGCCGGCCGCACCGACTGGGTGGCAGTCGCATGCTGGGTGGGAGAGAGAGAAATGTGTCAGAGGGGAGGCACAACACAAACCCCAACTAGACCCAAGGTGCAGTCCCAGAGCGGTGAAGAGGAGGGGGGCCCTTCCAGAACACCACTGGAAATCAGCTGCTGGGGCTGGCACAGCACAGACCCAGCTGGACCCATAGGTCTGGACCAACCGTGGCCCCACATGTGCTGTGAGCAGCACAGGCAGGAGGGCGAGTGAACAAAGCAGTTGGCCAGGGCAGGCCTTAATGACAGGGATGCTCAGGAGGAACACCTGGAGCCTCTGCAATTCCCACAGGTGCCTGCAGCCACCAGCTCTCCTTTAAGATCTTCCCCCACCTCAACTCCAGGAAGATGTTCCTTTGCAGCAGTAAAAACCATTTTCTCCACTCGCTCCCCTACCTCTGAGCTTTTCAGTCCATGGAGCTAAACCAGCACTAGGTTTTTACACAAACCACAAACCTTGTCTTGGTTTTAGAATGCAGCAGGTTTTCTCAATGTTTCCCAAGCTCATAAGCCTCAATGCCCCTCCTGACTCCTGGAGACCCTGCACAAAGGATGACACCACACCTTTCTACCACAGTCTCTCTAGGGACAAACCACACCTGAAGTGGGTGAAAGCTGTCTTTGTTCTCAGAAGAATACTCCATCACATCACATCACACTGGATGATGGACCCACTGAGGGGTGTCTGCGTGGAGGGATGTGGGAAGGAGATGCTTGCTCAGAGGAAGACCTTCCCATCTGCTTGCCTGGAGCTGTGCTGGCAATGAGCTGGAGGAGGTTATCTTGGCCTCCATCAGTGTAAGAGTTGAACGTGATTTCAAAGCAAAACAAAAACATCTCCCCCACCCGCCCCCACAGCCCCCTGATGTTACTGTTTCCCTAATTTTCACCAGATGGGACTGGTGGGAGCACCATGGCACTTGAGCCCCTCTCCTGCACAGCTAGAAACCAGAGCGAGCAGCCTCTAATGGGGACCAGATGCTCCATCCTTATCAGATCTTGGCTAGGACTAGAAGCGGACATCTTTCTGACAGGGATATTTTGGGGGCTCAGCTGTGATAACAAATGGCAGCGAGCAAGGGAGTCTTGGCATGACACAGGGCTGTTGGAAACACAGGGCCTTTCTTGGGCCCCAGTGGTCTGTTCCTGGTGTAAAGTTTATGGACAGACATAAATCTCAGCCCAGTCAGGATCCAGTTCATCTAAGCTGGTCTCTCTGCATGCGGTGGAAGGCACATTTCAGTGACTCCGGATGTTTTACCCAGATTGGTAAGTAAGGCAGCTTTGCTCATCTTAAGTGCACAACCCATCAGTGTTATCGGGGTATGAGCTTGGTCTCTTCCAGACCAATCCCTGCCCACTTGCCCTACCATAGTGGGATTTCCCAGTCCCACAAAAATAACTGTTCCCTCCAGTTCCCATGGGATGAGCATCCCAGGCAAGAGAGCTTCCCCTAACGGGTCCCGCATTGCAGCGCAGTCCATCCAGGCACTGCGGCTTTAGCGTCGCCGTCCCTCCTCATCCCGACATAACCGTGGAGGGGGCTGGCTCAGGGAGCCCATCCCAGCCCCAGAGAAGGCAGGCCTGGGGGCACGGTGCAGCTCTGCACTGCTGCCCACACACCGAGCCCTGCTGCTCCCAGCCTCTGGCTGCCAGGATCTGGCCCACGGAGCTTGAATGGTGGATTAAGTCACTAGCTTGGAGCTTAACTCATCAAGCTGTGCTTGCCAGAAAGCATGTCTTGCACCTCATTTTGAGGGTATTTTTGCATCTTGAGGCTTAGCTGCTACTGCTTCACCAGTTTTCATTGGAGAAAGACTCACGGTTTACAGCTTTGTTTAAATTACTGGGATTAATGCACAGCCATCCTTTATTTGACTTTTCAATTAGCACCATTGAATTAATCCTGAAGGTTGCTCTGCCTTTTCCATCCTCCCAGCTTTTCCATCCCACAGGGTCCAGCAGTGATGCTGGCAGTGGAGGGAAGCACTCCTTGCTCACTGGCCAGTAGCTGAGGGCTCTGCTCAGTTCGACACAACCTGTATCTGGTATTTCTGTTCCTATTTCAAGGATGCTGCATCCCAGCAGAGGCAAACCATGGTTGAAGAATTATTTAGTAACACATGCTGGGGTTTCTTTAAATAAGATGTAGTAGTTCCTGGCCTCTGGGTTAGTAATTTGCCTCCTGAATATTAACTGAGGCATCTGCAGCCTGGTCTAGTGGAAGGTGTCCCTGCCCATGGCAGAGGATTGGAAGCAGATGATCCACAAGGTCCCTTCCAACCCAAACCAGTCTGTGTTTCTATGAGCATCTGCCTTCATTGCGATGCTCAGCCTCTAGCCTGGGCCAGCGCTGTGGTAGGTGCAAAAGCCTTTGTTCAAATCCACAGCACACTGTTCCCATCCACCTGCTCCATGCCTGCTCTAAACATCCACTGAGAGGATCCTTGCTTTGCCTTTTTCCTGAGAGTAAATACCTGAGCTGCAGGTATGGGACACATCTTTGGAAAAAACAAGTCCAAATTATAGAGTCACACCTTTATTTATATGCCTCTCTGGAAGCACCAGCTCCATTGCCAGCACCTGGGACCTTGCTCCTCCTCTGAGGAGCTCCCAATCCCAGCAGCTCCACCTCTATATAAGGGAGGGGTGGAAATACTTTCTGCTTTACTGAAGGAGGAGCAGCCAAAGAAGCAGAAGCATCAGGGATTTTATTATTAACTCTGTTCTCCAAGGGAGAACCAGGAACTGGCTCCCCACACCCAGGGTACCCCCTTTGCTGCCAGATCCTCCTCAACATATGCACCATGGCAGGGGTCGGCCCTGTGCACATGTTCATCTGGCTCGGCTGAGCCTTGCAGCACTTCCAAACCACAGGCAAACCCTGCCAGCCCTCCGGAAGCAGCATCCCCCACCCAGCCTGGCAGAGCCCTGCCCGTGGCTTGGCACAGGGACAGAGGTTTGTCTGCGAGGGGGCACCTGTCCCACTCCTCTGCAGCCCAGGCACTGCTGGCTGCCATTTCTCCTGTGCTGCAGCATCTGCACTCAACGTACCCCATCAAATCCTGGGCATCCTGGGATGCTTTGCCCACCCTGTCCCCTCCAGAGGAGCCACCTTGGATCAGAGATACTTTCCATCATGGTAATGCTGCATAATTACTGCCCTGTGAGGGTGGTGGAGCAAGACTCACACAGACAAATGGTGAGCATATGCAGGTGGGAGCAGCCAGGCCCCCTCTGCCTCCCCCATTCCCTGCAAGGAGAAGGACTCGAGCCATAGCCAGGTAGGAAACACTGCAACCTGCAGCTGCCCTGCTCCCACAAACCATGCTATATTCAGTAATCCTCTCTGGTCCCAGCCAAACCCAGCTTGCTTTTTTAGGTTTTGGCATTTTTTCTATTATTGCTCTTTGGTAAGTACTCTCTTTCCCATCTGGAGCAGAAATGGAGCCCCTCAATGCCCAGGGAAGTGGTGCTGGGGGCCCTGGAGAGGTGAATGCCTGCATGGCATTCACTTTGCTTGGTATTGTAACAGTTTTGGGGCAAAAGTAGAAGGAGCTGGTCAGAGAATTACAGAATATCCCAAGCTAGAAGGAACCAAATATGATCACTGAATCCAACTCCTGGCCTTGCACAGACACCCCAGCATCCAAGGGCATCCTTCGCAGTGCTGTCCAAAGGTCCTGGGGAGCCTGGGCAGTGCCCAGCACCCTCTGGGGGAAGAACATTTCCTGATATCCAGCCTAACCCTCCCTAATCCAAAGAACAGCAGAAACCGTTCCTTGGAGAGGGCTGGGAGGTGAGGTGCTGCCTGCAGGAGAGGAAGGCTGAGGTGGAGGCAGCACAGCCACCCCGGTGCCTCTCAAGTGTTGGGGGAGAGCTGGGGCTGCCTGCCGGCCCTCAACACTTGAAGGAATCCTCATAGAAAAGAGAATTTTGCTGCAGCTGCCCCAGTTTGGTGGTGCTACAGCAGGAGCTGTGGCTGCTGCCATCCATCCCTGGCCTCAGCAGAGCCAGGACCCCTCCTGGGAATGGGACTCAATCTGGGATACTGTGCATAGACCACCAGGATGCATGCCTTGTCCTGCCTCCTCAGTGTCTCCCCTTTGCCACACTGAGGATGCTGGGCCCTGGCACAGCTTGGGTCCTGGCTGACACCTGACACAATCTTCATCAATGGTGTGGTGCCAGGGGCTGCCATGCCCACAGCCATAACTGTGGCATGGCTTGGCCAAGGCCACAGGGTGGAAACACCTTGTGTCCCTGGGAACACGGGCTGTGAGGGGGACATGTCAAGTCAGCTGCTTGGGTTGTTGAAAATTATTAGCTCGGTTTGCTAATGAGCTGGCTGCAGGTAGGGCTCCTCCTGCAGTGCCCTCTCAGCCCTGCTCCCACTGTGACACTGCACAAGCATGGGAAGTTTCTCCCTTCACTCCATCTTCTCAAGCATTCCTGGCAGTAGCAAGGATGAGAAGAGGCACTGGCACAGACCAGGCAATGGAGGGATTTCCTTTATTATATCCCAGCCTGAATGAGCCAGACCTCCAACAGCACTATACACCCGACAGAGGAACCCCAAAAGTCAAATCCTTCAATTTGGGTCCATGCCAACAATGTTAGTGGTCCAAAACGAGCTCCAGTAATTCCTGAAGGCCCTACATAAGCACATGAGCACCGTGTTCTTGCAGCAGTGAAGGGGCCCAGTGCCCACATGGCTGCAGAATGCATTGGAGAGAGATCTGAGAGGGACACTGTGCTCCCTTCCAGGAGGGACTCACAATGAATGACAGAAAAACAGGGATCAGGGATGAATTCTCAGCCTCTGAACAGCCATGGCTGATTTCCTGCCCATCTGATGTTCCAGTCTGGATCTCAACAGTCCTTGGGGACAGGCAGGGTGTTTTCTTATCTCAAATTCTTTGGTGAAACTATTGTTTTGAAAAGGCTCCATTGACAGGTTGAGTAGGGAGAAAGAAGAGGAACCAGACAGGCTTGGCCAGGAGTTAAGAGGAGGGAGAGGAGAGGTACAGGTCCCATGATGTTTGGCATAGGCTAGGGACCTTGAGAGGTCAAGCTGAAGTTTGATGGCTTGGAGCCAGTGTGGCTCCTGGCCAGCTCAAGGCGAGTCACCAGGAGCCACGGTGCTCAGCATCTCCCCAAAAACAGATCCCAAGAGCCATCCCACAGCTGAAAAACACAACGTGGGGTCCAGCCCCACAGCCCACCTGGAAGATGTGACTTTCACCCTCATCCCCAGCCCTCCAGAGCAGGGTACCCATGCTGCAAGCATGTCTATATCCCAGACAACATCCATTTCAGAGACAGATTTCCAGCATATTTAGTCATGTCTGCTTCAGCACCTCCCCACCTCTCTCCAAACACTGACCAGTGGAGATAGTAACTGCAAACACACCAGAACCCTCCCAGGCAATCTGCTTTCTCCCTTCCTCCAATCCTCCTCCACCCTGAGCTGATGCTGGGCTGAAAGTGCAGTCCCTGTCTGGTGCCCTTGGGGTGGTAGAGGAGATCATGGTGGCGGTGGCTGGAGCTGACCTGCAGCTGCCAAAGTGAGCAGGAGATCCCAAGGATGGGAAGGGAGAGCAAGGAGACCGAGAGAGATTCTGTGGCCTGCCTGCCCCCACGGAGCCGCAGCTTACCCTTGCAGGCTTTGCGGTCGGTGATGGCCTTGCTGAGGTCGCGGTAGAAGCCCTCCTTGCAGTAGTGGCAGTGCCTGCCCGCCGTGTTGTGCCGGCAGTTGAGGCACACGCCGCCGCTCTTGCGCCCCGACAGCTTGAACAGCTCCATGTTGAAGCGGCAGCGCCGCGCGTGCAGGTTGCAGTTGCAGGCTGCGAGGGAAGGGGAGAGCATGAGGGCTGAAGGTGCAATTCAGGACCCTCTGGGTGGGCTGGAGCTGCCCTGGTGTCCCCCACTGGGATGGACACAGCACAGGCTGTCCCAGTGTGCCATCCCAATGGGCAGCACCCACCACCCTGTGGGGCCGGTGCCATGAGGTCAGGGCAGAGGAGGAAGGACACGTGTAGGAACTGGCACCACTCAGCAAGTGTGGGATGGAGGGCTGCAGCTAGGGGGTTTGGCAGTGCCAGCTGGGCACTTGCAGCCCCATGGTCCTCTCTGCCCCTTCCCTGGCAGCTGGCTCTGGTGACAGAGCCCACCCAGCCTTCCAGCAGGACCACCCACCTCATGCCAGGCTGTGTGACAGCCCTCCCCTGCAACCGAGCCCTCAACTCTTTACATTTATGGCTCTATCTTGTGTGCCTGAGCCACACACACAGAGAAACCCACACAGCAACCCCCGTGCGCTCACATCCCTGTGTGTGCATGCACAAACATGCACGGGCGCACGTGCACACAAACATACCCATGAACATATGTGCACACAGACATGCACCAAAATACCCCCAGAGCTGTACACGTGCCCACAGGCAGCACACACAGATGTGCACAGAAACATCTGCACACCCTTACATGTGCACGAAGAAATTAGCCCCAGGAAGCACACAGCCCTCCTGGCCGAGTCCATGTGTGTGAGATAAAAAGGCAAAGCACTGCCTATTCCAACTTAACACTCTTGCAAAAAGATAATGGGAACAAGATTTCCTTTGGCAAAACGTGGCGCCCTGCTCCCCCAGCCCTGGCCCCCTCCCCGTGCTGGTAAATTGAGGCTGGGTGAGAGCTTTTCCAGGCGTACTGTGAAATTCATTAACGTGTTGGCCCAGCTTTAACTGCCTGGGCCTGGCCTGTGTGAAGTTGCCTCCCCGCAGCCAGCGGAGCTTCACCCGCACAGATCAAACACCGCCCTGCCTGCCCCACGCTCCGGCCATGGGCACGCTGCAGGGAGAAACCCAAACCCCAGCCATAAAAAAGAGTTTTTTGGAGGCTTGAGTTGAGCAGAAGGTTAGTGCCAGCACACTCAAACCTCAGCTGCCCCCAGAGCTCCCCTGAGTTATGAGATTAGTGAGAAATCACATGGCAGGCATCAAAATAACACCCAGTGTGGCTCTAGTGCTTGTTCCTTTGGAGCTATTTATTTTTCCCTGGTGACAGTGAAAAATAGGGATTTTTAAGGCAAATTCTGGGTTGTGGTGTGTGGAGGAAAAGCAGCAAATATTGCCCAAGGTCCCAGGTAGCACAAGATGCTGTTGAACTGGGGATGTTGACATTCAAATAGGCTTTGCCAGGGCTGGAAGAGACACAGTGAAGTATCCTGACAGCCAGGGTGCTCTTGAGGTCTCCAGATAATGTGACAGGGACAAGACAAGGTGGCTTTTGCTACAGAACTGTGGCAGAGGAGCAACTTTTGGGAGGAGAGGGGCCTTGTTTTCCCCTTGCAGCACTGAAAGGCTGAGAGGTCATCCCAAAAGGCCTCTTGGAATGCCCCCAGCACCCTCTGGGGAACAGAAAGGCTGGCAGCCCAGAGGGGAGGTGAGGGGCAGTGGAGGAGAACTGTTGGGTAAATGATTCGCTGCCCTCAGCACAGGTCCCTCTCTGCCTCCTGTTTAATTGGTGACAGAGTAACTGGCAGGGCCTTCTCCTGGCACGTCCTGATCTACCCCAGGACCACCTTTCCCTCGGAACATGCTGCAGACCCCCTGATCATCCCAAGAGCTGGGTTTGGGGAAGAACCCTGCCCTGGTAGGCCAGCAGTATCCCCTCTCCTTCAGGCACTGGTGCTGCCTGCTCTGGGCCAGTGTTAGCAGCTGCCAAGCCAGGATTCCAGAGCCAGCTGGGGAACTGGCTGGGCTGGGCCACCCTGGCTTGGGTGGCTGTCCCCACTCAGGGACAGGGTCACACCAGCACGTATGGCAATCCCCTCACCCCCTGGCGCAGTCATCCGGAGCTAATCGGGGCAGACAGGTCCCCCTCTTACCCAGCTAAATACTCTCACTGTTCCTCAGTACTGAGGCAGTTGTAAGCTCTGTCTGTCTCCTGTTAATCACTAATTAAAGGCTTGAATGTTCCCTGCTGTTTGGGGTATTAATAAGAATTTAATTGCACAGTTTGGGGCTAATTACCTGGTAGCTTGCTTCCGCCCTTGTACAGTATGCCCAATTAAACAATCATATGATCAATTAAACAATCACAAGATCTAATAGTTTGCAATAATAGACTAATTAAATGTCGACACCTTGCAATGGAGCAATCTTTTGTCTCCCTTTTGATGGTGTTTGAACCCCTTCCCAGGCCCTGGCCACCCCAAAACCTCTCCTCCTCCTCCAGGCTGCTGCAGATGCAGGAGCCTGCAATGACAGCACGAGGGGCTTTGGTACACAGAGCCTGGCACGGGACAGGCAGCGCCATGCACCGAGGCACACGTGGGACAGGCAGTGGAGCCCGCAGGGCAGGAGCAAGGCTCACCGCCCCTACAAGTTCCCTGGGAATAATTAGGGAAGGCAGCCGGATCAGCGAAACCCTAGACGGGCTGCTGCTGCCAACCCGCAGCAGATTTGAGCTACGCCCCTGCTTTGGCTGGAGGAGAGCCTGGCTGGGACACGGGGCAGGATGAGGCTGCACCTCTCGGTTCCATGGCAGCCGAGACCAGAACAGCCCCTTTCCTCTCATTCACACTGTCCCTCCATCCTGGAGAAGGTGCTGGGGGAGAAGGGCTCACTCTGCTCCTGCCAGGAAGCAGCAGAAGCCCCAAGAGGCTGCGAGGGACACGGCTGAGGCACTCCAGCCCCATCCCAGGAGGAGCAGGACTCAGGATGGTCAGACAAGTGTAAATCTCCTCTGCCGGGGGCTGCCTTCCCCTGCACTCCAGGGAAGCGGAGCGGGCGGGGTGGGCAGACACGGGGGACAGGGGCATGCTGTCCGCTTGCCCACCTCCCAGAGCCAGGCGCCTTCCCCCTGCTCTCCCCAGGAAAGGACCGTGGCTGGTGCTCCTGGGAACTCAGTGGTTTCCAGTGCGTCTGCTGGGGAGCAGGTGCAGAGAACCCTGTCAGGGGAACTCCCAGTGCAAGGGAAAATGTACAGGAAGGGGCACAGGGCACAAGGGAATTACATGTGATCCTCCAAATCCCACCACCGCTCCGGGGATTGGTGTTTTCAGGCAGCGACATCCCGGGTGGAACACCACATCCCCCCCGAGCAGCCCGCGAGGTTTTCCCAGGAGAGCGCCGCCCCCTCCCCGCCGAGGCCCCGGATCAAAGCGAGCCCCGGGCATTATCCTGGTGCTCCGGGGAGTGCTCCTGCCGCGGCGGCCACAAAGGGAACAAGGGCTCCCGCATCACCAGCGAGTGCATCAATTACTTCCAGTGACTGCTCGTGCTAATCCGCTTCCCCTCCTTCCCCGGGCCGGGTGTTTGGGGGCCGGGCTGCCCCCAGCAGCCCGTGGGTGCGGGCTGAAACCGGCAGCAGTGGTGGGGAGGCGGAGGTGTGAGTCTGCAGAGTCCCCAAGACTCTGGCAATCCTGCTCCTGCCAGCCCCTCTGCTGGGATTATCGTTCACACAGCCTGCCCCAGGCTAAAAGCTGGGGGGATGCATTGGTGGGGACACGTCCCTCCTCCCTGCCCTGGCCACACAGAGCATGCCCATACCGGCAGGGCAAGCTCCCTGCGGGACATGCAGCCCCTGTGGTGTGTCAGGAGAGCCCCTGTGCCTGCGGGCCGATGGTCTCCAGCCAGCAGGCACGAGGCCGTGCACTGCGCGCACAAAGCTGGCACGGTGCCCTCTTGCCAAGCCAGCAGCTTGGCAAATCCACTGTCACTGTCCTGGCTGCAACAGTCCCAAACCTCCCTGCTTGCCAAACTCATGCTGACCCCCTCAACACTGCAGCACAGTGATGTCCCCACAAACACTACAGTCACCCTACGGCAGCCGTGCTGGGGCTGTGCCCTGTGCCAGTGCTCAGAGCTCAGGTAGTACCTGCCCGTTTCACCTGTTCATTTCCCAGAGACACAAATTCTAATGAAACAACAAATGTTTATGCTCACCTCCAGCTGAATGGATGCATGTCCCAGCATCGTGCCATGCTGTAGGACATCAGTTTGTCCCTGTGCTGGAGCAGGCTCCCGTGCACTGGACTGAGAAAAACCCCCATGCAGAGTGCTGGGGAGCACAGAGCCAAGAGCTGACACATCCCAACATGACCTGAAGCTGTACCAGCCCCATGGATCCACTCTTACCCTCTCTCAGGGCGCTGCGATCCCCCACCCTGCCCCTGGGCTGTCACTGAGCTGCCAAGCCCCAGCATCCACCCACTCTCCTCCTCTTCCTCCCCACTCCCCAGCCACGTCTGACATCCACCACCACGAGCCAGCATCAGCGCTGTCTGACCACAGGACAGAGTCCGAAACCCGGCAGCCCCCGGGCTGAGCAAAGGGAACTTCCCGGGCAGCCTCTCCTTTTAATTGGTGCTAATTGCTGCGTCTGTTCGTGCTGGCTGGGGAGATGTCATTGTTGAAAGGCACAGAGGGGAAGGCTCGGGAAGCTAATCCAGCTTTCAGCCGCTAAGCCCTTCGAAGGCGGGTGATGGAGAAGCTCTTTCAGGTCCCTTCAGAGAGGGCACAAAGCCCGAGAGAGGGAAGGGAGAAAGAAGGGGAGCGAATCAACAGGAAAAAAAACTACTTTCACACGCAGCTCGAGGAAGGGTCTTTGTGTGCGGGGCTGTTGGGGGGGTTGAAGGGATGGCGCTGCGGCCCCGCCTCCTCTTCCCTCTCTCGTTTATCTTTTCAGCTTCATCTGCCAAAAGGGTGACGCAGCTGGGGGCTGGATGCTCAGAGCAAGGGACCGTCATCCCACCCGAGATGGACAGAAAACCTGCAGATGCTACTCAAAAATGAGCCTCCTCTGGTTTAACCCCTTTTGTGCTAGCAGAGCCACCTCCACTGCTATATCGTGCTGCTTTCCTGGAGGATGTGGCAGTGAGGCAGGTGCAGAGTGGGGGGCACAAGGGGGCAGCCAGTGACGTGAGGTCCTCCTTGTGTCCTGGGAGTTTCCATGGCCTCACACACCTGCTGAAGGCTTCCCCTGCCTGACCTGCAGCAGCCCTGGCAGGGTGTAAAGTCGACTTTTTTTTCTGAGCTCCAAAACTCATCTTTCTGAAACAAGTGGAAAAACACAAGGGCTGACACATTCCCACAGGGCATGAGGTGGCTTAAAGCATCAGCTCCAGCACTTGCTTTGAATCCACTGCCTTTTTAGCCATTCTTAGAAGAAATCTGCTGTAACATGTATATATTGAAGCAGACAGCTGGGTTCTCAACAAGACATCGATCACAAATACTAACAAGTCCTTCTGACCTCTGGCACATCCACTGAGCCTTTCAGAGGCTGATTAATGGTACAGCTCTCCCTTGTCTCCATCTTCCCGCCACCCCCTGAGACCTGGGCTCCTGTCCAGGAGGAGCAAAAGGCTGTTCCTCCCTCTCCCAGACGTTCACAGGGCTCTGGCATCCCCCAGCTCCATCCCAAAGCAGGACAAAAAGTAAAAGTCTCCACCGAATTCCCATAAAGATTCACGACCAGGAGAGACAACTATATCACTTTGATGTTTTGGAAATGTTTCATTTTGTGACAGTATTTTTAACTTAAGGAAACCTTTGCAAGGACAGACAAGCTAAAACCACCACACAGACTGAACATGAAGGATGAAATTTCAAACTGGGAACCTCAACCTCTGCCAGGATTTTCTGCCTGCTCCCTGTCCTGAAGTACATCTCACAGGGAACTGCTGCGATTGCCCCTCCAGCCCACGGACAGCTAGTTTGCTGCCCAAGAGAAAAAATCTCAGAGGGGCATCCCACACTGAGGTCTGCTGACTGGCTGGAAGACACCAGTGATTTTTGGGAGGGTTTTGGTGCTTTGGCTCATGGTGGAATCACTTACAGGACAGCTGCAGCAGAGACAAGGTAGATGGTTGAGCCTTTCCCAATCCTCCAGCACAGGGGATGCTCCCCAGCATCTCCAGACAACCACACTCCATTGCTTTGGCTCAGCACCCATCACTTCCTACCCTGATGACCTGTTTTAGCATTTCAGCCCCAGAGAACAAAAACATTTAAAAATGCCTTACCCAGACACTCGTTTGCCTCACGGGCACTAGCCCGCTGCCAGGGCCGGTCGTAGTGGAAGGGCTTGCAGCGGTCGCACTCAGGTCCCTCTGTGTTGTGCTTGCAGTCGCACACCAGCTTCTGCTCCTTGTCCTTAACGCAGCGTGCCGCATGCCCGTTGCACTTGCAGCGCCCGCCGACCTGCAGCTCCCCCACCGCGTAGTAGTAGGGGGTGGAGCCCGTGGCCCCCTCGTCCTCGCCAGCGTCCCGGCTGCTCAGGTCGCGGAAGAGATGCGGGCGGCTGAAGACCACGCGGATGTCGGTGGCCGTCACCCAGTCCTGGAGCACGGGGCTGCTGTCGAAGTCCTGGGCCGAGGGTCGCCCGTCCAGGGTGCTGAAGGCAATGAGTCCCCCGGTGAGCGGGTAGAGGTCAGTGAGGCCGTCGGTGCACAGGGCCTCCTGCTCGTTCTGCTTGGTGACCGTGGCTTTGCTGGGCTTGCCATAGATCTTACGGCACTGGGAGGAGTAGTACTGGTAGGGCACCCAGGTCTTGCCGTAGTCCATGGACTTGAGGATGGCGGTGGACTCGGGCCGGGGTGAGCAGAACTGGAGGCTGACGTAGACCACCTCAAACTTCTTGCCAAGGGAGAGGGTCAGGGTGACGTTCTGGGGTGAGTGGTGGAGGGTTTCCGAGCGCCAGCAGGTCATGTTGGAGGCGGTGTTGAGGTCAGTCAGGTAGGCGGGTGGGTGGGCTCGGCGGGGGTCCGAGGCATTGCAGTGCCGTGTTGGGGGCTTCCCACACGTGCTGGAAGCTTGAACCTCCTTCCCAAAGGCAGCGTTGACAAATTCAGGGATGCAGCGTCGAGGAGCACCGCTCTCATCATAGCAAGGGTCGGGGGGGGTCTGCTGGGCCACGAAGGGGTTCACTGTCTGGGACAGGCCCAGCATGGCAGTGGTAAGGAGCAGGCGCAGGAGCTGCAGGACCTCCATCCTTCTGGGGAGAGGGAAGTGGCTCCTCCCTGCAGGAAGAAGAACAAGAGTGAGTGGTATCAGCAGTGTTGTGGCCACAGCACCACCCATATTGGGAGGGCTGGTAAGGGATGGAAAACTCGCCCATGTCTGGTCCATCACCTGTACCCATCTTCCCACCCTGTATCCACTGATGCGGTATCCTGGAAGCAGGGCAGGGAGACAATTACTTTGTGTTGCCTCATCCACACCAATCCACAGCTCACTGCTCATCAGCAGGACTGAAATACCATGGAAATGGGAAAAGGGCCTGAGCTTTGGGTGCAAGGGGTTGAAATTGGGGTACAGCCCTTCCCTGGCCTCTTACAAACTTCCTGTGGTGACAGGAATGTTCCTGTCTGCCAGCAGCCCTGGCTGTCACACAGTTCAGAGATGCTGTTACTGCATGGCTGACAAGGGCTGGTGGTGGGGAAGAGTTAGGGGAGATCTTTCAGATGCAACTGAAGCTGCAAACCCCAAGTTATCCACCTGTAGCAGAAAATAGCTCCTGACAGAGCAGGAGAAACAGCAGCAAAAACACCTTGAAGGCACAGTGTGCAAGAAGAAGGGGCTCATTGGCTTTCTTTGCTGGCCATGGGCACAGTGGCTTCTCCAAGCCAGGAGCTGGATCCCCTCCATATTCCTCTGCCACACTACCCAGCAGCAATGGAAGTTATTCTGGCCTCACCCCCAAGAAATCCAGGTCTGGGTCTGGTATGTTTGTTGACTGGGGGAAAGGCCAGGACCAAATGCAGGACCTGGCTGGGCCCCTTTCTCAGCAGCTGCTGCACAGGGCTAGGGAGCTTAGTGGCTCCCAGGGGATGTAGCACATCTCCTGAGTTATTGGCTTGAAGAGTGGAAGAGCTGTGGAGGTCACATTCCCTGCTGGCTCTGAATGCATGAGGGACTTCTACACAATGCAGATTGGCCATGCCCCATTCTTGCCATAGCAGACCCCTGAGCCTCCTGGATGGGTGGGTGCCATCAGCCCTGCCATCCCATGGGTTGTGCTGAGCCAAAGCCAAGTTGTCCAGTCTTGACCAGCCCAATGCCATGACCAGGCAGGAGGAGGGGGTCCCCTGATCGTCCCCTCTCCCACTAGTAAATCTTTACAGGATGACTTGTGCTTTTCTCTGAGGAACAAAGCTCTGCATGACCTAGCCCAGTATCCCCAGCTCCAGCCTCCACCTAGGGCCCAGTGCCACTCCTGCCTGTCCAGCTGCCCACTCTGGCCAAAGGAGGCTCCAAGGAACAGCCCATTTAAATGATCCAGGACCTTTTTTTGGTTTGTTATCCCATTTCTTTTGCAAAGAAAAAGGAGCCATGGCTGTGGAACAAAACAGCCTCTCCATACTGCCAAACCACTAATGAGGGGAAGCTCCTCCCTGCCCAGCCACAGTCAGCCCAGCAGCCACAGCCTGTGCCTACCAAGGGAGCAATGGGGACAACGGTCTCAGCCCATCCTGGGATATCTCCCCCAAGGCAAAACCTGCCCCTGCCACTTCCGTGCTGTTTCCTCATTGCTTAATCCTCTGCTGATGGAAAAAGAGATGTTAAAAATTGGCAGCTCCGTTGGTGGTCCCTGCATCACCCCAGCAGCACAATTCCAGCTTTACCACAATGCTGCAGAGCCTTTTGGGGACATGTCAGCCCATGGCTTGGTGACTTGGCTGCCAGCAAGGCAAAGGATACTGGCCCTGGAGTGCCCAGAGCATTGAGAACCCACTACTTGAGGAGTGTGGCTGCAAGATTAGAGACTGCAGGCATGTAGCAGTCACCACAGCAGAGGAGGTGCCATGCCACGAGCACCAGGCAGTGGAGAATGCCCCCCCTGTAGACTGCAGGCAGCCTACAGGGCCCTGTTGGGACTCCTGGCCCCACTGCAGGCAGCTGCCTCCTGGGCAGGAGATGAAGCTATGGCTGCTGCCAGATCCCTGCATCTGCTTGTTGAACAAAGGCTGCAGCTGGTGAAACCCCCAACACAATCCTGGCAGGACGACCCCCAACCCTTGCCTGGTGCTGAGCAGCGCGCTGTGGGCACAAGCCCCTGCCAGCCCATTGGTAGAGCCCTGCTCCTGTATTCTCACCCTGTAAAGGGGCTGCAAGGTGCTGATGGACCCCCCTCAATGCCCGGCAAGACCCGGCCATGCACGTACTTGCAGAAACCAGCACAGCACCTTGGCCCTGCCAGCCTCTGCCCCTCCAACTACATGTCCCACAGAGGGCACACAGTCAGGTGCTGCAGCCATCCCACCACCCACAGGGCACCACTAGCAGGGACACAACCCTGTGGGAAAACCTCTGCACCAGGAGAGAGGAGAAACCCCCAGGGGTCCACAGCAACTGCACCCATCCACTCCAGGGAGAATCAGGTTATATGGAACAAGGCATCTACTAAACCCTGCCAGCAAAGAGTCTCCTCCACCTCCTCTCTGCAATGTGGCAGCAAGGTGACAGGAGTAGGGACATGCTCAAGCAAAGGCCTTTTAATTCCTCTCTGGTAGGACACAAAGGTGTGGGGAAACCCTCGCCCAGGGGAAAGCGACAGCAGCAGCATCTCTGGTAGCCAGGGGAGAGACCACGGGCGCAGTTGTTATGAGCACTGGAGCAGCAGTCTAGGACCCAGGACTTGGTTACTGCTGGTTTAGGCACGCATGGGGCCATAAGCATCTCTTGCTCATTCTCCCTGCCCCAGTGGGGAGCTTTGTCCCTCCTGCCAGTCTTACCAAGTCCCTGAGGTTCAGTGTCAAAGTTTTGGTGGCTCTGCTGCAGGGGAGCAGCCCCCGGGGAGCCAACAGTCGCTCAGCAGCACATCAGCACTGCGGAGGCAGGGCAGGAGTGGAAATCATTATCATCCGCAGGACCACACACAGGCACGCACACTCCGTGCTCAGCTCACCCCATTATCCCACTGAAAGAGAGCTGGGGCCAGTGGTCTCCGTGGGCCTCACCTCCGTATTGGAGAGGAGGGCAAGATGCAATCTGCTCCCTTTCATGCATATTCAGCATGACCCTGGGACTGCCGGCAAGCTGCCAGAGAGGCCTGGGAGTGGGTATTTCTCTCCCTGGTCCCCATCTGCCCCCCCCTTTCTACTTCCCATTTTTGCTGCCCCGGGCTCAGATCAAATGGAGACACTGCTGACTAAGCAGAAAGAATTGGGATGACCCCTGGGTGCCGAATCCAGCCCAGCACGTTCCTGGATCCGGCATGAAGAGGGACATGGGCAATGGAGCCCCTTTCCCAGGGACAGCATCCCAAAGGTGTCCCCAGCAAGGCTCTCTGGTGGCTGCCAGCTCCCTGCCACCAGCAGCAGCTGTGGCCCGGGGAAATGCGGCGGCGGGGCTCACCGTTCCCGAGGAAGCAGCCACCCTCCAGCTCCTCCGCAGAAACGGCTGCATTTTTGAGGTGGGCGATTTCCTCACTCCTCCACCCCGGGAATGCTAACAGCCGTGCAGCTTGGAAGGAAGTCATGCTGCCAGAGTGCTTCAGAAGTGCTTTAAAAAAAAATTAGCTTCCACATCCAACACCTCCACACCCCTTCTCTCTACAACCACACACTTCCAGAGCAACCAGCAGTGTTTCCCTGTCTTGTGGGAGACTTGTCAGGACGATGCTCCAGCCCACCATAGGCTTCTTTTCCATCATCTTTGCAGGAGGCAGTGCCACTGAGGGTGATGCCAAGTGCAGATGCATGCCTTGAGCTCCAGGTTTCCTGATACTGAGCTATGGGGTAGGTGCTTGGTCCCCAAAATAGAATGGATGAGGCAAGTGCAGCAGGTGAGGCAGGGGAAGGAGAGCAAACTTTCAACAATGGATGCTGGTCCCTACAGGAGGCTCAGGATCACCACCTGGCAGACTGGGGCCACAGCAACTTTGCTGAAGTAATTACAGGATTAGGTGGAACAACACAAGGCGGAAGGGAAGCAGGTTATTAACCAGATTTGATCCCAGGACCTTTGCAGCACAGGAGCAGCCTTCTCTAATTAGAGTGGAGGGGAAGGCATGAGTGGTGCTCTGCTGTCAGAAATATGTGGGCTTAGAGGGCAGGTGATGGCTAAAGCTGAGCAGCCAGCACTGCCCTGGAAGAGGATGGGAGAACCCCAAGGAATGACAGGGGAATGGAACTGCACTCCTGCCAGGGACCTGTGCTGCTCCCCCAGGCTGATGCCCCCGCACTGATGCTGCTGCCATGCTCAGCCCACTGCGCTTCTCCTCCAAGCCAGGACAGCATAGTGTGTGGGGGAATTGCATCACTTGAGGAAAAGACATGGCCTCATTTGGAACTGGCTGAGATGGAGATGACTGGTCCCCATGAGGTGCACAGAGATAAGGTCCTGGGTGCCAGCAGGGATAGAGCCACCCACCCCCATGGGGCACAAACATGCACTGCAAAAGCCATGGATCAGGAGGCAGAGATTCCTGGGCAAGGACCAAAACACCTGAGCACTTCAGGGAGTCCAACAACTGACTCTTGGGTAAGACTGATCCAGGAGGACTGCTGGTTCCTGAATTGTGTCATCCCCACTAAAGCCCACCAGCACCTCAGATGTCCTCTGTGAAGGAAACCACTGGGAGGATAGGACAGGACCCCAAGTAGAAGATAAATTATGTGCTCAAAGAAGCTGAAACCAGGAACAAATGACCAGAGCATGTCCCTTAACCAGGGTGTATCTGCTGCTACAACCTGCACATTCCCACCTTGTTACAGACCCTTTGTAATGAGGGCATCTGCACCCCCTTGCCACATGTGCTGTAGGAGCCACCCCATGCAGCTCTGCCCCAGCCCATGAACAATATCCATCCTGGGGCACTGCCAGGGTCCCGAATATCCAGGTCCCTCTTCCACCATGCCAGTGCCAGCTCAGGGAAGCTTAATTCCTCCAGCCAACAAACAGAATAAGGCCCAAACTTTGCTCCGGCTGTGGATAAATCATTCCATGTGTTACTGGGATATAAAAACACAACTGAGAAGTATTTAAAGTGAAAGGAAAAACTCCATGGAGCCAAGGTACTGGTCCGGCTCAGTTTTCCAGAGGGAGGGAGCGTGCGCTGAGAGAGGCTGGAGGGATGCAGTGTGGCTGGGAGTGCTAATCGCCTTCCCAGCTGCTAATGGAGCAAGTGGTGCCCACTTGGGACTCGGCTAATGGCACAAAGGAGATGCCTCACTTTCCTTTACAAGCTCCCTCATCTCTCCTGATATTTAAGTATCAGAAGCTTCTCAGTGCTTATGGCCCCACATCCGCAGGGCTGCCCACTCCATGCAGCCCCTCAGGCTCAGCCCCCTGCACGCACAGCTCAGGGGGGCAATTACACAGCAGCATCTTCCTGCAGCAGGCACTGCAGGTGATGGATATTGCAATGCACTCTTGGCAGGTCAGAGCCAGAATTACACCAGCCATACGATACCCCGGCGGTGCCAGGAGACACGTACAAATTACACTGCACACAGGAAAGGATGGGCCAGATTCTGACCTCAGTGCTTTGGCATCAGCCCGAAGTAACTCCATTCACATCGGGCCAAACCAAGACGTAAGCAACTCCATTCAAATTTACACTGGCATACCTGTGGTCAGGATCTGGCCTGGCTTGAATTAGTTGCAGCCTGATTTGTTACAAAAGGCAGCAACAGAGCCCAGATTTCCAAGGTTATCGAAAACAATCAAAAAATAAAAGAAAAAAGAAATCCACCATAAAGCAAACAGTTCTCAGGCTACTCAGCTATGTGCATGGAGCTGTCAAATGCAGGATGCTCAGATACATCTCTGCTCACCAGTTTCAGTAACTCAGAAACCATGCTGACCACAGGAAGGAGGGACCAACACTCAGCATGGGTGTCCTGCTGGGTCTCCCATGCCCACTCTGCTCACCGCTGGCCGCAGGTAGAGGAGACTTCAGCACAGTATCACCCATATGATGTGGGCCTGAATCCATTTTGCTGCAAAGCTCTTGCATCCCCTAGCTAGTGCAAGCTGGAGATCTCCTCCTAAAGTTCCCAATGCAACAGCAGCTCAAAGAGACATTTGGAGCCCTTGACCTTGCAGGACAAGCAAGCACTTCCTGGATGCATTTGGACAACTCAGGGTATTCTATGTTTTTTTTTTTCCTACCCCATTTATTAACCTCTACTACATTTTGACCAGTTAGTTTTTTTCTTTTATCCAACTCTAACCCCACTGCAGTCTCCCAAACCCCTTTGCACATTCCTACCACAGTGCTTGGCTCTACTGAGTGGTCTCAGCAGCATCCCTCAAGGTGCAGAGGGTTTTCCTCCCACTACTCCCAGTGGATGCAAGGGACTCAGAGTTCCAGTCCAGAAGTCCTCATTGCCTCCACTCCTTTCCACTCTATATGAGAATGAAGTGATCTGGTTTCCATAACATCCCTCACTGCATTTTCACAACATGCTGGGCACAGATGTTGAAAATAGTCTGGATGAATATTTAAAATGGTATTCAGAAATGACAACATTTGGCCAGCTTTGAAAGATCTCTCATATCGGGCAGAGGATGGCTCACAACAACGGGCTGGAAACACACTGCACTTTGACATCTCATTTTTTTTTACCCCCCTCTCTGGCTATTGGTACGATATTTCATGCCCCTGGTGTCCCACAGTCTGTTATTGCTTGAGTGCCAGCCAAGCCTGCAGCATTAGGAAGAAGCTGTCGTGTACATTTTTAAACATCATGGGGCAAAGTGGAATATGGAAAATCTGTCGCGTTTCCACACCGAGCGCAAGTGTCCTGCGCAGGCTCAGGGAGGGGCTCGAAGGGGCACAAAATAATTGCTTCCTTATGGGGCAGGGCCTGACTAACCAGGGTGGGGGAACAGGAGGCAGAGGTGCTGCCTCAACACCCTCGACATGCTGGGCTGCTTCCCTGCTGAAAACGTCTCAGCACATCCCCCGAGGAGTGCACTGATGTTCACCTCCTTCTTCAGGGCTGGGGAAAGCCCCTCTCAGAGTCACACCTCTGCCAACAGCCAGCCAAGCTGGGACCTCCATTCCGTCCAACCCAGACTGATGATACCATTGTTCTGGTGCTCAGAGAGTGGTGGAAATGCTCCTCAGCCTGGACACCTAGCAGCTTGCATTTCTGGTGAGCATCTTGCGCTTGCTCAGCTGCATCCTTAGGCCAGGCTTCTCTCTTCCACAGCCTACAGACACACATCAGCTCCCACCCAGCCTGGCATTACATCTGCCCTCTCTGCAGGGACCTACCTTCCTTCCACACACAAGTAGAAGAGGAAGGGGTGTTGGGACCCTTTCAGCCCACCCTGCTCTTGGACTGCTGGATCTCCCTCACAGCCCACTCCGAACAGGTGTCAGAGCAGCACAGCAGCTCCCTCTGTTTTGTAAATGGGATATTGCAGAAAAGGAGGAAAAAAGTTGCCCTCCATCCATCCAAACATCGTGGAGGCTGTTTCCAGCACACAGCCGAAATCACATTCCTCTCCACTGGTTACAGAGAGCTCTAGCCTCTCCTGGCTCTGAGAGACGGGCAACAGCAAACTTGGCTGGGGAAGAAGGATCTGTGGCATTTCCAGCCATGCAGGGTATGCACATCCATGTCTGCACTCACTATTGCCTCAGCCTGGCTACTGGTCCAACGCAAATGGCACGGATGGAGGTGGGGATCCTCAGCCTGGCTTACATCCCATATGTTCATGGGATGAACTCCCTGAGAGAGAAGTGCTGCCTAGATGAGCATCAAACCAGCAGGACCCAGTGCTGCCAGAGCAGCTCGTGCTCCTGCCCAGGGGGCCTTCCCCACCTGCCCTGCTTGGTGACATAGCAGACTGCCAAGCACCACGTCCCCATCACACCAGTTAGCCCTTATCCCAAGAAAGGTATTTCCACCCACCCACTCTCCAGTGGGCCAGGGAAGCTGCAGGATGGTGTTTTGAGGAAATGAGGTTTCAGCAGCTCCAAGAGAAGAAAGCAAAAGCAAACCCACCAAATGCAGCCCAGCTTCCCTTCCCGTGAAGCTGCTCGCTCATATGTTCACTGGCCAGAACTCTCACCCCAGATGTGGCTCAAGTGCCAGGTGCTCGGGGTGCCGAGGGTCTCGCCCAGTCTGGCTCCAGAACTGCAAAGGAGCAGAGCACATCCCACGGGAGCCGTTCCCAAAGGGAGCCGAACCACCCTGCAGGCGAGTCTCTCAGGGCAGCCGTGATGGGAAGGGACCAACGATGGACCCCAGCCTGGGATGGTGACAAGAGCGGTGCCGCCCGCCCAGATGGCTTTGTGCCGGCGGAGCCCTCACGGGAGGAGAAGGACCTGCGGCGGGAGCGGCGGGCAGGGGACCACGTGCATGCCTCGTGCCCGGTCAGCCGGGGCTGGCACCGCAGGCTCGGCCTGGCAGGGCTCCCGCCGCTGCCCGCACCGCAGCCGCACGGAGCGGGGCCGGGGCTCCGCCGGGCTGCGGCACTGCGGGGCTCCCGAGACCCCCGAGCCGCTCTGCGGGGCGGCGGCAGCGAGCCGTGCCGAGCCAAGCCGGGCCAGAGTGCTGAGCGGCGGCGGCCGGAGCTGCCCGGGGACGAGAGCCGGGCTCAGCGGCGGGCGGGCGGCCCCGCTGCGGGGAGGTCCCGTTCTCGGCGGTGAAAGGATGGAAAGGGAAATAAAGGGAGGGTGAGTGCGGGGGGAGAAGGAGGAATAAAAGGCAACGAGGGAGGGAGCGGTGGGGAAGAGAGCGGGAGCCCGGAGCGCCGGGAAGTTGGGAGCGCAGCTTACCGCGGCCGGGCAGGTAGCGGGGCCGGTCTGGGCGACAGGTCCGGGAGCGGCGGCGAGAGGAGCCGGGGCCGCGGCGGGGCGGACGGCGGGCAGGGGTAGCTCCTTCCCGGTGCTGGCCGCAGCACGAAGAAAGCAAAAAAAAGTGAAGAAAAGGGTGTGTGGGGGGGAAAGCAATGATAACAAATTTCCAGGGAATCGTGCGTGAGGGACGAAATAAAGCGAAATAGTGGAAAGCGGGAGCGCTGCTCCCGGCGGTGCGGGCGGGTCCCAGCGCCGTGCCCACAGCCGGCCGCGCTCCCGCCCGCTCCACCGTACCGCCCGCGGCTGCTTCGGCTGCGGGAGGGAGGGGGGAGGCGGCAGGGGAGGGCGAAAAAGGAGAGGAAAGGGAAAACAAAAAACACCCCTTAAAAAAAATAAAAACTAAAAGAAAAGCAAGAATTGGAGAAACTGAGCCCCGACCGCCGCCTGGACGTGGAGTAAAAAGACTCCAATAAATCCCGGGTTGAAAAGAAGGGAAAAGTCACCTCCCCGAGGAAATCAGAAGCAGATTTCGAGCCATTTAATCACATGCAGGGAGGTGTGTGCGTGTGCGCCGCCCGCCGCCGCTGCCAGCCCTGCCTCCGCCCTCCGCCCCGCCGGCAGCCCAGCGGGCAGGGCTGGAGCCGGGCGGGAAGCGGGGCCGCCCCACCGGCGGGCAGCTCTCCCCGCGGGGTCCCGGGCGCCCCGCCGGTCAGCGCCGCGGGGGTCCCGGTGGCCGCGGTCCCACCTGCTGCCTGGCCAGTCCCGCCGCACCCGGGAGTTCGCTCAGCCCGCAGCGGGGCCATCCCCGCGGAATGCGGGTGGCTGCCGGCCACAGCCCACCACGCCGAGGGCTCAGCGGTACCGCAGCCAAGGCAGCCGATTATTCTCCCTCTGCTTCCCAAAGCAAATGAGGCATTTACCAGGCGGAAGCAGCTCCTCTTATGGAGAAAGCTGGAGTCTCCGCTCCATCCCGTGGTGCAGGGGCTTTTCACGTGCTGCTGCACCAGAGTCGCCCTTGGTCTCTGATTTTTGGGTAGGGAGGGAGAGAAGCGAGGCACTTACGTACCCAGCACAGCTGCCTCCGGGCTGCCCCCGGGGGCTGCTCCGCTGTCCCCAGACCACCTGCGAGCGGGCCACGAGAAGGTGAAACTAATTTAATCAGTTTGTGCAAGGCGGTGGAGGAAAGCAGGAAACTCGGACCTGGATTCTGTCTCTCACTGGGGCCGTGTTCACAGCCCTGCGGCCCCCACATCTGCCAGTTTTGCCTGGGGAACATCCTCTTGTAATTGCCCTTGCAATGGATGTGAGGACTGAAGCACCGGAGGTGGGAAGAAGGGCAAGGTGCCAGCACAGTGCCCAATCCATTACGTTCAAAACCCCCACCCACCATCACCCTGCTCCCGGGGGACCCCCGGTTGCCCACGTCCTGTTGCCCTGGGGCAGCAGGTTGCAGGAGCAGCTCTCCCAGCCGGCTGGCAGATGCTCACTGAAGGAGTAGACCCCAGCTGGCCGCGAGCCCCAGGGGAATTGCTGTTTGCTGCTCTCTGCCTTGTTGCACTAAAGACATTTCCCCTCCTATTCCAGCAGCAGGGATGTGAATAAACAAGAGTGAAGTCACCAAGATGGAGGAGACCTTGGCCATGAGCAGGGAAACATCAAGGCTCTAAGTCCAGTGCTACGGGTGTCTTGTAGCCCCTCTCTCACATTTGGAGAGCTGGGCAGTCAAGCCAGAGACCACGAAAGCAGCTCCAATGCAGATCCCAGATGGAGCACTAGTGCAGGGCCAACATTTGCTTTGTGTGCGATCACACTGGACTGCGGGACTGAGCAAGGCCCAGCGTTGCCAGGACAGTGTGGCACCATGGACAGGCTGGGATGACGAAGGCAACAGGGCAAAATGGGGCATGGCTAGAAGATCATGAAGTGACACAAAGCAGGGATTGTCCAAGGGATAGACCTGAAGGCATTTTCCTCACCAGGAAACACACGGATAACCATGAACAGGAGCTGTGATACTGACCCAGCCTGGCCTGGCCGCTCCAAGGTGGTGCTGAGCTGGGGGCCTGCATCACCACAACCTCAGTGCTGCTGTTTGCACACCTATTGGACCCCCACCCTCCCGGGACAAACATGGTGTTGAAAGTGCTGGCCACCATACGGAAAAGTTTTGGGACTGCTCTCCACAGGCATTACATCAGTGAAAGCCCAGTTGAGATGGGCAGAAGCTGTTTCCTGAATCCCTGTTTCCCCTGTTCCCTCTTCATAGGATGGAGAGGCTGAGAGAAAGATGTAAATCTGTGTTTGGCAAATGGGAGTGCTACAGACATCAGCAGGGATGGAACACTCACTGAGGTAGGAATCAGACTGAGACTCTGTTGGTGTTCCTCAGCCTGCTGACATCCCCCAGTGTTCTCTGCCTTCCTGGGCAGATCTGGACTGGCAGGATGAGAGGGCAAACACGCTGTTCTGTTTGTCACCCTGCAGTCTGCAGGAAGCTCTGCCTATCGCAAGCTCCCATTCTGCATCCATTCCTGCTCCTTGTGTCTCATGAAAGCACAGCATCTGGTGCCAGCCAGCCCTCCCAGTCAACAAAGGATTGCTGAAAGGACACACACATCCACAAGCTGTTGGAGCAAAAGCACCAGCATCAAGTCAGCTGGGGTAGATACAGAATTGTCAGATGGGTTGGAGGGACCTTAAAAGATCATCCAGTCCAATTGCACAGCAGGGATATCTTTCACTAGACCAAATTGCTCATTCAAACCTATCCTTGAGCACTTTCAGGTATGGGGCAGACATAGCTTCTCTGGGCACCCTGTGCCAGGCCCTCATGACCCTCACAGGGAAGAATTTCTTCCCAATATCCCGTCCATCCCTGCCCTCTGCCAGTGGGAAGCCATTCCCTATGTCCTATCACTGCAGAGGCCCTCTCCAGCTCTGTTTGAGCCACTTTAGGAACTGGAAGCGGCTCTAAAGTCCCCCTGGAGCCATCTGGCCCCCTTTGATTGGGGGGGGGAGGCTGATGCCCTCTTTTACCCTCTGTGCCTCGCCCCCCCCATCCCTCCTTCCCCTGCAGCACACGTTCAAAGCCAGTCCAGCCCTGCAGAGCACTCCCCTGGCCATTGCCTTGTGTTCACAGAGCGGCTCGGACACAGCACCGGACAGTGGAGAGCGGGCAGCAGAGAGCGGGCAGCGGAGAGCGGGAGTGAGCAGCAGAGAGCGGAGAGTGGGCAACGGAGAGCAGGCAGCGGAGAGCGGAGGGTGGGCGGCGGAGAACGGAGAGCGAGGAGCGGAGAACGGAGAGCGGGGAGCGGAGAGCGGGGAGTGGGGAGCGCAGAGCGGAGAATGGAGAGCGGGCGGTGGAGAACGGAGAGCGGGGAGCGGAGAGCGGGCGGCGGAGAACGGAGAGCAGAGAGCGGGGAGTGGGGAGCGGAGAATGGAGAGCGGGCGGTGGAGAACGGAGAGCGGGGAGCGGGCGGTGGAGAGGGGGGAGCAGAGAGCGGAGAGCGGGTGGCGGAGAGCGGAGAGCAGAGAGCGGAGAGCGGGGAGTGGGGAGCGGGGAGTGGGGAGCGGGGAGCGGAGAGCAGAGAGCGGGTGGCGGAGAGCGGGGAGCGGAGAGCAGAGAGCGGAGGGCAGGGAGCGGAGAGCGGAGAGCGGGCGGTAGAGAGCGGAGGACGGAGAGCGGGCGGCGGAGAGCGGGGAGCAGAGAACGGAGAGCGGAGGGCGGGTGGCGGATAGTGGAGGGCGGGTGGCGGACAGCGGAGAGCGGAGAGCGGAGGGCGGGGAGAGCGGAGAGTGAGCAGCAGAGAGCGGAGAGTGGGCAACGGAGAGCAGGCAGCGGAGAGCGGAGGGTGGGCGGCGGAGAACGGAGAGCGAGGAGCGGAGAACGGAGAGCGGGGAGCGGAGAGCGGGCGGCGGAGAACGGAGAGCAGAGAGCGGGGAGTGGGGAGCGGAGAATGGAGAGCGGGCGGTGGAGAACGGAGAGCGGGGAGTGGGGAGCGGGGAGTGGGGAGCGGGGAGCGGAGAGCAGAGAGCGGGTGGCGGAGAGCGGGGAGCGGGCGGTGGAGAGGGGGGAGCAGAGAGCGGAGAGCGGATGGCGGAGAACGGGGAGCGGGGAGCGGAGAATGGAGAGCGGAGAGCAGAGAGCGGAGGGCAGGGAGCGGAGAACGGAGAGCGGGCGGTAGAGAGAGGAGGGCGGAGAGCGGAGGGCGGCTGGCGGACAGCGGAGGGCGGGGGGCGGACAGCGGAGGGCGGAGGAGGGCGGAGGGCGGGCTCTCGAGCCCCCTCACCCCGCGGTCGGTGCGCGGCGCTCTTGCGCCCCCTGCCGGCTCGGCCGCGCAGGCAGCGGGTGCCCCGGGGCGCGGTGACGCCGGGCCCGGACCCCGTGGCTGGCTCACTTACTGATGAGCCCAGCTGTAATCCACTCCACAGCCCCGCCGAGGAAGCAGAACGTGTCGCAGCCCCAGCCTCATCCCGGCGTGTTGGAACGGCTCCTTGAGGTGAAGGCTGATGTTTCCGGACAAGCAGGGAAAAGACCCTACATACTGCCTTGCCACGTCCTTCTTCAACCTCCTCACTGGAGAAGGAATAGGTTTACTGCCAGAAGTGAGGACTCTTTCTTTTGACTGGTCCCAGAGGCCCCTCTCCCAGTGCACTAAGAGAGGAGGATCCCGTTTCAGCCACTGGGTCATCCTCAGGATGACTCCATAATTCTGATATTTCTCTTCTTTCTGTGCTATTTACTCTTCCAAGGGCACCTTATCTGCCTCCCTTTTGGGACTATCAGTCTCCCGACAGACACATCTGCCTTCCCATCCTGTGCTCAGAATCTGTTCCTGTTCCCACACGTGGTTTCTTCTGGAGTGCAAATCACAGCAGCTGTTGCCAGGAACTGATATGTGACCTTGCAGGGAGGTACAGACACCCTCCTCCTGCGATTTGCACCCAGGGTTTGAGCACTATGGGGATATGGTGGCAGCCCAAATAGGCAATCCCTGGGGACCTGTAGCCCTGCTCTGGGCCACAACAGCTCTTCTCTGCCACCCAGAGCGCCAGTAGGGGCAGTTCACCCTGGAGGAGACAAGGTTTGTTGAAAGGTTTGCAGTGAGTGTGGCTTGGGGAAATGGAATCCAGTGTGACATCACCAACAAACCCAGCGTATAATTCCATATAACACATATAACCACTGCAGTGACATTATGTGTGCCCTACCCTGCCCCTGTTCACCCCAGCATGAACATTGCACAGGCCAGGCACAGTGCTGGAGCTTCAGCTTACAGCCCCAGGCCAAGGTGGAGCAGTGCAAGGGACCACAGTCTGCTAGCAAGGCTGGAGAGATGCTGAACCTGCAGCAGTGTGTGCTGAGGCTATGTTCTGGTGACATTGCCATTCCCGGTCTTGGACTGGAAAGGTGCTGCACAGGCCGGGGACAATGTGCAACATGGCCCTTAAACACACTCCATGCCCCAGGAAGCAGCAGTTCTGCCAGCACTCCAGGTCCTGCTCTTCTGGCACATCTTCAGCTCAGTGTTATCCCCCTGTGGAAACTTTTAGCCCATGGCAAAGGGATTTGCATGGTGCTGCTCACAGTGAAAACTTTCCTGGACAATGCTGAATGTGATGAGTGTGTCCCAGGTCACCCTATTCAGCAAGCAGCTGGGGTCAGGAATTCATTTTGGGCCTCTTTCTCTCTCATCAGCTTCCTGAGCTGCAAGACTAAGCCAGGCCCTTTTCTTGAACATGTTTTGGTTCATCTTTATCTAATTCCATCCCCTCATCACTGCCATGGCTGTGTGTGCAGACCGCTCAAGAATGTCACCCCCACACCTTACGCTTCTGTCTGTGCCCCCTTGCTCTGCAGTGACTG